GGTTTACAGGCACAACTATACAACTTAGATGTACGAATTTAGAACATGTTAAGAAGACAGTAATATTATAATAAGGATTACCCAAACATTTTGGTGCGATGTTATTCTAGAACAAAAATTCTTTAGGGTGACCCCTTGTATTAAATTTTAACTAAAAAAACACTAAAAATGTGTTGATTTTATGAGTCCAGATACAGGAAGATATGATGAACTAATTTCCTTCACTTTCAATTGTATATGTTCTTGAATCATATTATAAATTGCAATGATCATTGCTAAATCGATTGAGGAAGTCAATGATGTTTTATAAAAACTAGCAATGCATTTGTATAACATTTCTCAATATGGTGGTGTTGATAATAATCACAATTTATTGCAAAACATATCAATTAAATATAAAAATTATTATGAAATGAACGATAATGAAAATGATTTGCAGAAAAAATGTATTATTACACAAATCATATTAAAGATATTTTATGTCTTTGACTTTTTAATTATTTCTTTTTATAAACAAATGAAACAGCTAACCTTTGTCTAAATTTCAAATTAGAATCGTAAAGTTTTAGCTATAAGTGCAGCACAGTGGTTTTAAAAATGTTACAAGTTAGAAATAATTAGAGAGCCAGTGAAGATATCTAAACTATGAATAGTCTAGAAAGTAGTCTATGGATTAGTCATTCAGCTAGCTCCTGTAAGATTGAATGATTTGCAGATATGGCAAATTTTAATATTGAAATGGTACTAAACTGGTACAAAACTTAAGATCAGAATACAGACAAAGGATGATTGAGCCGCGAACACTTTCCTAAGGGACAATGTGATCTCTATCTACAATGATTTCTTCTTTCTCCGACAAACTTGATCTTCTGTTGTCTCTTCGACTACCTGACACCTGCACGGTCTTTCAGGCAGAGATATATGACATCGTTACAGCCGCAAAAAAATCCGGGAACTGAATCTCAAAAATTCGACTATACATATCTACTTGGACAGCCTTGCATCAACCAAGGCTCTTAACTCCAACGTTATTAAGTCGAAATATTTTCTCAATTGTATTCAAACACTGGCACAACTGGCACAATATCACGTCGAGTTAATTTGGATTCCAGGGCATCCGGGGAAATGAGATATCTGAGATATCCACTTGCAGAGTATCGATACTGTTCTGGCTCACTCTGACAAAGGCTAGAACTAGGACTCTCTTGTCTTTTAGTAAGATCTCGATTAGGCTTAACACAGTTATAATTACTGGGCAGTGTGTAATTTTAAATATGTCGGAACGTATGGGCACTCACGTTATAGCTACTGTAGAAGTTGTTTGGATGAGGAAGAAGAGGAATCGATACCTTCTGTGTGACTGCCCAGACTTACTAGAGCACAGACTACTCTATCTTGTTAGAGCAATTTTCCATGATCTGGACTGTCTCAGAGATACGTCACTAGTAAACATGATCGATTTTATTATAAATACCGACTGGTTCTCACGGGGACCACAGGAAACACATAGTAAATGAAATTAGGGAAGGAAGCCATTCTACTTTATGTATAAACTTTCAAGATAAGGGAATTGTAATTCTAAGGGTATCACAATGTGCTACAAGGCCTCCGAGCGAACTCGCTAACTAGCGACCTTTGAGGACCTTTTAGGACTAAAAGTACTAAATAACTTTTTAAAATTTTTTGACAAATCTAATTACTATGGAATAAAATATTGATTACTTTATAGACTAGTGTAAGGGCTACTCCATTGACTAGTTATGGACTAGTATATAGACTAGTATATAGTATATTGACTATTCTATATAATATTTACTAAACTCATTGTCTAGGTTATTGATTGGTCTATGGATTAATCTATGAAATAGTGTATTGGACTAGTCTGTGAAGTACTCTATAGAGCAAAAGTTTATAATTAGTTAAAGTACTTAACATACCGTGGTACTTCGCTATTCGATATCGATCTCAAAAAGTAGTCTTTTGTCTAGTCTATGGACTAGACCATTTTCTAGTTATTGACTATTCTATGGAATAGTTTATTGACTAGTCTACGGATTAATGTATGAACTAGGCTATTGAATAGTCTTTGGACTAATATATGAAGTGCTACTTAGAGCAATAATTTATAATTAAGAACAAGAAGGAAAGTATAGTCGGACATGTCCGACTATATGATACCCTACACCATGGGTATACTTTAAAGATTATTTATTTTTCATAAACAATTTCTTGAATTTTACCTTAAATCCGATGTATTTAAGCAATTTATTGATGAAAAACTAGATTTCTAAAAGAGGCTTTATTTGGGAGTTAGGGTTAAATATGGGCCGATCCTCAAAAAATTGGGAAGAGGGATGTAATTTTATATAAAGATTGGTTATGCTGAATTTCATCGCGATACTAATGGTTATAAGTAAATTTTTGGACATTTAAGATATTTTTTAAAGGGGGGTTTGTATGAGGGCTAGGGTCAAACGACGGTCGATCATTATAAAAATTGACATGGACATTTATGCTTATATAAAACTTAGCTGTGCCAATTTTTGGTAACATAGTAGTATATTTGACATAGTTATGAATTAAAAACACAAAATCGGAAGGTCAGGTTGTATGGGGGCTATGTGAAATAATGGACCGATTTCAACTATTTTCAATAGGCATCGTCCCTGTCTTGAAAATTGTGGCCTGTAGCTTGCTCACAAGGTTTAGGTTAGGTTAGGTTGATAGGAGGATGTATACTACATCAAATCCGAAGAAATACACCTAGGCCACTATCGGGCCTGTTGTGCGCTCCAATTCAAGAAAGAAAAAAAAAATTGTTCACTGAATGTATTATTTTTCCATGTTCAGAAACTCAGTTTCCTGGACGTAATTCCTAAGAATCTTCCAATCGGTGTTGGTTAAGAATGTTATTTCCGGAATAACATCACTTCCAAGATACTTGGATCTAACTTCGACGAATGCCTGACAATGGCAAAGAAAGTGCTCCAGAGTTTCACTGTCCTCTCCACATGCTCTACATTCGTCTGAATCCGCACGTCCAATTTTGTATAGATGTGCTCGTAATCCTGTGTGTCCACTGAGAATACGTACCATCATACTAACCTCAGACTTGCTCATTTTGAGAAGATTTCTCGTCTTGCTCTCATCAGGGTCACCCCATAGAATCTTTGTGGTTCTACCCACGTTTCATTATTCCAAGAGGCCTTATGGGATTCTCTCATCCATATTTTTAATTCAGCTTTTGTTGCGTCGAATGGTTTTGCGTTTGTCAGGTTAACTACTCCCTTACCTCTGGGAGAGTATTCAGTTAAAGCTTTCTTACAATCCAATACGGTCTTAGATTTAATTCTATCACCTGATATCGCACAAATTGCCTTCTGGCTGTCGGTAAATATATTAAGCCCTGTGGGCGCCATATTTATTCTAATCCAATTTACACATTCCGTTATTGCTCGTACTTCTGCCTGGAAGCTTGTGTTATGATTAGGTAAACGGTGGTATATTTCTGTTTCTGGGTCTTCAATATAGAACCCCAGGCCCACTTTGTCCCCTAATTTAGAGCCATCCGTGTAGCAACGGATTCCTACTGGTATTTGCTCTAATGTTCCGCTTGACCAAGACATTCTATCTGGGATTAGCGTTTCAAAGTTTCCGACATATTCAGTGTGTGGTATGCGATCGGGCACGTCCGATGAATGTGTATAACCTTCCAATGTGTCCAGTATACATTGATGACGTGTCCTATAACCGTTTTTGGCCAGTTCGCCTAAAGTAAAGAGCCGTTCGGCTGTAAGCGCCGCCTCAAGGTTTAAATGGACAGCCTGACAGACAGACGGACGGACATGTCTTAATTGACTCAGAAAGTGATTCTGAGTTGATCGGTATACTTTAAGTTGGGTGTTGGACCAATATTTTTATGCATTACTAACATCAGCACAAACGTATAATACCCTCCCCACTATAGTGGTGTTGGGTATAAAAAGTACTAAATATATTTATCATGGCGATTCTGCGGTATTTTTCAATGTCAAAAAGTACTGAAAAAAGTACATTAGTACTAAATTTTCCCTGCCTGATAAATTAACTTGAAAGATAAAAGGATTTAAAGGATTAAGCAGCGCTGAAACTTAATCTAAATTTAGAATTTCTCTAACACATCAGATTTTCCAGTTATCGTGTTATAAAAATGGAATTACGGCCCGTTTTTCGGCCATATTTGAGACATAATATCAGCGCTTAAACACCTTTATTTATAAATTTTCTTATGTCATTTGAAAGTCCAATCCAATGACTTTAAAAAAAAGCTTTAAGCTCTTTTATATCATCTCCATTCTTTGAGATATTTTAATCCAAAAAATTAGATTTATTTTACGTTGAATCAAATTATGGTGAATTAGTTATTATTAGAATTCATTCTTTCTAACTTCTGCTGCTATCATACATCACGAATTGTTAAGGCATTCATTCCACGAGATCGCAAGAAAACACACACTCGATTTTTATGATCGACATCATTAAAATAACTCTCACTTACAGACCCTTTATGCTCAGTTAAACCAGATTTTATGGTATATTTTCAATTCATTAAAGTTTAACTAAACCGAAAAATATGGATTAAACTCAAACTTTAAAAACAACAGTTACATTTTAAAATTTAAATTAAAATGATTTGTGTATGATGAGATGTCTGTGATTTGATGTGATGATGATTAAATATAAAAATTATACAAAAATCATAAATAATACAAGTTTGTATATGAGGAATTTTCTTTATTATGCATGAAATGTATTTAACTGCGTATTTACACCAAGATGATGATAATGATGGTGATTACGATGTCTACAACTTTTTCATTATAATGCAAATTATTATTATAAAAATATGGTTTTTTATGAGTAAAGTTACAGTATAAATAATGTGTATATGAAATGAATAATAGTATTTAATAGTTGTATATCTTATTTTGTAAGTTTTAAGTTATTTTTTCGTTAGTTACCTTTCACTTTTTAGGGTTTTCAGTGGTCTCAGTGTGTGATATATTTTTTATTATTTGTACACTGCTGCTGCTGTTTGTTTATGTTATAAATTAAATTTTTATTTTATATTTCGTTAGTTTATAACTTTGTTATTTTTATTTAATAATATAAAATGTTTTAAAACATCTAAATCTAAAACAAAAAGTAAACAAGCAAAATATTAGGAAGGGTTCCAATTCAGTAACTACACAAGTCACATTCATAAACCCAAGCGTCGTGTTTCTTGTAACCACATTGTCTTAAGTTTTCTTCAATATTTTGAAAATTTATAACAAATAAAATTTTATTTTATTGCGAAAATTTTCACAGCACTTTGAACAAAGTTGTTGTTGTTTTTATTCTTCTTCTTCTACTTCTCGTCGTTATTGTTTTTGCTGTTTTACAAATGACAACACCAACAAAACAAATAACAAACTTGCGACTTTTTTTTTATTAACTCATAGTAAAGTACCCATACAATAATCCAATCGAAAAAAAAACATGTTAAAAATAAACAATTTTTTAAAAATATTTTAACATTTAGTCATCACCACCATCAACAGCGTTAACAGCATTGTGTTATTGCTGGCGTTATAACGTCATCAAAAAAGACGTATGAGAATTTCTAGAATATAAATGCAAAATTATATTTAACCCTTAAATGGGTTAATGTTATGTTCAGATTTCTCTTGTTAAGCAATATTTTTTTATCTTTCAAGAATTTTTGTATTATTTTAAGGAAATTTAATTTCGCTTATGCTCTTAGCCTAGGTTAGGTTTAATGAAAGATATATATTCGAAAGAATACATTTAGGTAGCTTTTGGGCTTGTTGTGGGTTAATTTTCAAGGAAAGTGTTTGTGAAAAAACCTTTTACATGGTTTTTGATAAAAATTTTAGAAATTCAGTTTCCTCTACGTTTCATTATTCCAAGGGACCGTATGGGATTCTCTCACCCATGTTTTCAGTTCAGTGTCGAATGGTATTGTGTTAGTCAGATTAACTATATCAAGCTCCCTTTAAAACAAATACATTCCAATACTCTTTCATTGCCGATTATCATCGAGTTGTAGTTTGCTCATGCGGATTATACTAAGATCAATACTAATTAATTTATCTATTAGCTCATAGATTATTCAATAGGCCAGTCAATAAATAAGTCCATTTAGTCTCGGGGGAGTTTTCCAGTTTTTCCAGATATAGTTTCACACAAACTAGGGGAGGGCAGATTATCCACCATATACCATATACATATGTATATAATTTCTAAGTATATTGAACTCTGTTTCCTGGGCAAGAAGATACCGGTGACCGACAGAGTTAAGTGGTTTGGTGTAATCCTTGGCCGGAAATTAAGATGGTGGCACCACATAGAGGAAAGTATTAACAAAGCAGGGTCTTAGTTCTACTAAGACACATTGGCTTTATAAAAGTGTAATTAGACCAATTCTATATCATGCTTCAATAATCTTCTGAACTTGAGATTTGTAATACCACTCAACTACAGGGAGTTGTGTATAAGTGGTGCCATAAGCACTACGCCAACCAAGGCTCTGAAACGATGCTAGATATTGCACTCATTGAAACATATACATATAAGATATGAGGCAAGGCGGCACTTACAGCTGAACGACTTTAGGCGGACAGAACCAAAGGCGGTTACAGGACACGTCATCAATATATACTGGACATATTAGAAGGGTATACACAATCATCGGACGTGCATTTCAGACGCATAATATGTCGAGAACTTTGAAACACTTATCCCAGATAGAATGTCTTGGTCAAGCGGAACATTAGAGCAAATATCCGTAGGAATCCGTTTGTATACGGATGGTTCTAAATTGGGGGACAAAGCGGGCCTGGGGTTCTATATTGAAGACCCATAAACTGAAATATACCACCGTTTACCTAATCACAATACAGAATGTCAATAACGGAATGCGTAAATTGGATTAAAATAAATATGGCGCCAACAGAGGTTAATATATTTACCCGACAGCCAGAAGGCAATTAGAGCGATATCAGGTGATAGAATTAAATCTAAGACCGTATTGGATTGTATGAAAGCTTTAACAGAATACTCTCCCAGAGGTAATCTTTACATCATATGGATACCAGGACACTCGGGAGTAATCGACAACGAAAGGGAAAAGAGCTCGAACGCGAAACCATTCGACGCAGCGAAGGATGAATTAAAAATATGGGTCTGATAAGGCCTCTTGGAACAATGAAACGGTGGGTAGAACCACAAAGAGGGTCACACCTATGGAGTGACCCTAATGAGAGCATGACGAGAAATCTCCCGAAAATAAGCAAGTCTGAGGTAAGTATGATTCTGAGCTGACACACAGGATTAGCAAGTCTGAGGTAAGTATGATTCTGAGTGGACTCACAGGATTATGGGCACAGTTATACAAAATTGGACGTGCGTATTCAGACGAATGTAGATCCTGCGCAGTGAAACTCTGGAGCACTTTCTTTGCCACAGTCAGGCATTCATCGAAATTTACTCCAAATATTTTGGGAGTGATAATATTCCAAATATAACATTTCTCACGAGCATTTATTGGAAAATTCTTAGGAATTATGTTCAGGAAACTTAGTAAATACTATATAAGGTTTTTGTTTTTATCAACAAACATTTTACTTGAAAACGAGCGCACAACAAGCCCAGATAGTGGCGTCATTGATTTTCTTCGGATTTGATGTAGAAGCATTCTCCTATCAACCTAACCTAATCCTAAAAAAGTACCTTTTGCTAAAGGTTATTAAATTTTAATTTTGCCTTGTCTGGTTGTAATCTTATCAAGATTTGGAAACAAGAATTGCGTTTTTCTACTTGTGATGTTTTGTAAAAATTTTAATATTATTATTTCAATTAGAAATAATAATATCAAAAAAGTACAATTGTAACAATTTTGCCAGCCCTGTGATGTACAGCCTGTGTTCTTAAGGCTCAGTTAGTTTCTACGTTACGTTTCGTGACAGATCAGCTGATTTGTGTTTTTCATACAAAAACTTAATCTCATGGTCGAACTATTGACTTACGCGGATTTCCGTTAACCTAAAACGAATCAGGAATTCATCACGTAACGTAGCGTAGAAACTAAATGGCTCTCTTACAGAGCAATAGGATCATAGATTTAACCTTATCAGTTGATGTTTGTCTTCTGAACTGTTCATTCATGAATATCCCAGATGACAATTATGTTTAAAAATTCTGTGATAGAAATTCTCAAATATGATCGAAAATTAGAATTAACGTTTAAATCCCATGACGATGCATAATAACATCATTTTAAGTTTGTTAAGAAATACTTTTTCTTTTTGTTTTACTTTGACCTTATGCTACTTTTAAAGGTTAAGTCAAAATTTCATTCACAGCTGACTGTGTCAAACTAGTAATCCAAAAAAAAACCTAAACACACAAAAATTCCCATAAAATGTTGACGTATCCACAGAATGTGTACGAAATTGAACTCTTTACACACTAATAGGGTAATTTTAGCATAAACTGAGTTTTAATTGTGTTTAATGTTTGGCAACTTTAAAAACTAGAAAAACATAAACAGACGGAACAAAATTAAATTCTCATAAAATTATTAAGATTTGATAAATAAGTAGGAAATGCACACTAGAGTTGGCTTTAAGCTAATAGGTTTTTTGTAGTTTTTTTTTTTTTTTTTTGTTCAAAAGTAAGAGTGTATGTAGAAATAAATAAATAAATAAACATATAATTTTAGAACTTGTTTTAGTGGCTGTTGGGTTTAAATATTTCTTTCTTTTAATATGCAATTAAATATTAAAGAAAAAAGTTAAGTTTTCTGGTTTTTTTAGTTTTAAACTACTTTCGATTGTTTGTTTTTATAAGTTTCTTCTTCTAGGTTGTGTAGTTAAAGCTGGTGTTTTGTAACGGGTTTAATTAAAAAGCGAAATTTGTTTTAAATATTTTTACTTAAAAAAAAAAAAAAAAAGATTTATTGTATTTCTTTTTTTGTATTTTTTTTTTAAAGAAGAAGCAACAAAGCTAAGTTGCATGCTGGTCACATAAAATTTAAATGAAACTATAGCTTAATGATCATTTGTAAAACAACAAAAACTCCAGAAAAAATGACGCGTTCTTTTTTTTGTACTCTACAGAGTTATTCAAAGATTTTATATATTTCTCTTAAATTCCAATTAAACCTAGATCAGTCTATAATAAAAAAAAAACAAACTGTATTTTTTTATTACTATTATTATGAATTTCGTTGGTTTACAATTTTAATTCCTTTTGTTTTTATGTAGATTTCGGTTTAACACAATTTGTATTAAGACACACACAAACACTTAAAAAACTAAATTTCTTAACGGTTTTAACTTTAAATCAAAAGTTACTTTAGATTTGTGTATTATTTATGTTTAATTTAGTATTTCTCACTTTAGTGACACACAATCACACCAGCTTATAGCTGTTAATAAGATTTTACGCACTTGGACTCGTAAATTTAAAGTGAAAACAAAAGACTTAAGCAACAAACGCGCGCGCGTTGTAAACAAATTTCTACGATACACACACGTCAACGCTTTCTTTGCAACTAAAACTCAACAATTCTCTCGTAAGTTTCTCAACCAAAAAAATGAAAAAAAACCTGGTTGTTTGTTAAAAGCTTAAAGCAAAAGCTTTTTTCTTAACACTTACCATACATATAAACAAAAAAGAATAAACATATCTATCAAAGCTAAATAAAAACTAACAAAATATTTAAATATTAAATCATTCCTTTTGTTCTCTTTTTTTTAAATTTAATTTAAGATTTTTTGTTGTTTATTTTTGTTTTGCTGTTGATTTAAGTTATTATTTTTGAATTTTTAAATTTTTATAACGGTTCTGTTTTTAACAATTGAGGCATGTGTTTGTTGTTCAAATTTCCAATGGTATTAAAAATTAAAGTAAAATAATACCCCAACAGTCTAAATTTTTTTCAAAAGAAACTTTCTTTTCATCTCTGGCTCTTATCATTACATCCCATATTTATTAATACCAAGTATTTGCTCCCATATTTTTTAAATTTTAAAGATGTGTCAATGGGAGTGCAGCTTACATTTTTGTGTATAATTTATATGCTAATATTTAGTTTTTTATTTCGAAATACACTTACAAAAATATGAAATACTATATTCGAGAGTTAAGTTAGTTTTTAATAATTATGCACACCCTTCAAACTAGGAAAATATACAGCTCTTTGCACAAAAACGGTAAGTTGCAAGAAGTTCGAAAAACTGATACTTAACCAGCTTAATTTGAGAATGATTTGAATTCGAACTGTTTCTCAAATGTTAGAATACATAATAACTTTCTCAACAATTTAGGATTAACTAAGTAAGTAAGTGGGTCATATTGATAGGAGGATGTATCTACTACATCAAACCCAAAGATATACACCGAGGCCACTATCGGGCCATGGAATATGTTTATTGGTAAACACAAGAACCAAGTCCAATGTTCAGAAACTCAGTTTTCTGAACATAATTCCTAAGAATTTTCCAATCAGTGTTAGTGAGAAATGTTATATCCAGAACACTTCCCAGATATTTGCATCTTATTTCAATGGCAAAGAAAGTGTTCTAGAGTTTCACTGTCTTCTCTACATGCTCTACATTCGACTGAATGCGCACATCTAATTTTGTATAACTGTGCCCGTAATAATGTGTGTCCACTCAGAATACTTACCATCATACTAACCTCAAACTTGCTCATTTTGAGGAGGCTTCTCGACCTGCTCCCCTTAGGAACTTTATGGTTCAACACACAGTTTCAAACCAATAGCTTTGACGACTATTGACGACTACTCCCGAGTGGCCTGGTACCCATATAATGTAAACCTTAGCTCTGGGAGAGTCCTTGATTTAATTTTATCACCTGATATCGCCCTAATAGCCTTCTGGCTATAGGCATCATATCTTAAATACGTTTCAATGGGTGGGATATCGTTTCAAGAGCCTTGGTTGAAGTAATAGACATGAAACCACTTATGTCCAAGCAGCATATACGCTGAACTTCTTGTAGTAATTTGATATTACACTTTTTGTCTAAAGAAATCCCCCCAGATTATTGAAGCATAATCTTTAGAATTGGTGTAATTACACTTTTATAAAGCCAATGAGTCATAGTAGGACTAAGGCTCCATTTAATGAGCTCCTAGCACCGATGTGCCTTGTTGATCCTATCAGCTATGTGGTGTCCCCATTTTAATTTCCGGTCATGTACTTAACTCTGTCTGTCACCGGTATCTTCTTGCCCAGGAAACAGGGTTTAGTATACAGAGAAATTTTTGTCTTTCTTGTGAAATGACAGATTTCTGTCTTCGCCGTGTTAACATTAAAGATTCTCGGCCGTATTCAGAGCCTATTCAGCTGTTCTACATAAATTGATCCAATTACGGAGCACCGGGTCAACATCTAACTGGTCTAAGGATTGGTAAGATTATCACTGTGCACGTTATTGAAGGCGCCTTCGATGTCAATGCATAACACCAGTTTGCTAAGACAACTTTAAATGCTATCCACCAAAGAGCGGTGGAAGACTTCATCAATTACCACCGCGATAGTATAATACTGAGAGGTCGTCCCCCACCCGTTGCAAACGAGGAACAAAACCTACCACGTCGGTATTGGCACAACTTAGATCGGTTTGGTGTACCCGTTTAAACTCGTACTAGTCGAGAATAATTAACACCATTCAAAATGTTCAACACCTTTTCAACTGCAGGGCAAATCCAACTCAGCTGGAATCTCTTTGGTCTCAGCCGTTATATGCGGCTCGTCTACTGGTTTTAAATCTAACTGATTTGGATAACCCGAGCGAAGAAGAAGAAAAGTAGGAAATAATTTTTAACTATATATGTATACGTGTAATTTCAGGTGTCGCTGGTACAACAACAACAGTTTGCTAACTACCCAGGTGACCAACCATTTTAACATGGGCTTGTCCTACGAGGAAGTCAATCGTCACTCTACACCCCACAAAGATACAGTAAAGAGACGATTGCCTCCGCTCTCGCTTACAAAGGGGACACTAAAGTGACGACTGTCTTCATTCTCGTTTACAAAGAGTTTATTTGTGACGAAAGACCAAAAACATACGAATTGGAGGTGGTAAGATATTAATGGAACTAAAATTTAAAATTTTCAAGTGTCTACTCTCTAGAATACTATGGGACAATAATGTGACGATTGACCCGAAAGATATAAATTTGAGTCAACCAGATGGTGCCACATTAGTAGAAAGTAACAATCATTTCTCCAAAAGATGGGTAAAATAACTACTTTCGGAAGTACAACGAAAAAAAACAACTTTTTAGAGTATAATCTCTAGGATACTTGAGGACAGTAAAGAGGCGACTGTCTCCGCTCCCGCTTACAAAGAGGACACTAAAGTGACGACTGTCTTCATTCTCGATTACAAAGGGTACATTCGTGACGAATGACCCAAAACATACGAATTACGATCATCCAGGTGGTTAACTATTAGTGGAAATTACTGTCTTTTTCGTATGCATTGACTCTTTGTCGAACTGCTGGGTAAGTATTCACCTATATAGTGGACAATTTCGTTTAACGCGGTTTCCACCGATCGTCCCTTTACATTAGCATGCTTCTTATATTTGTGATCTTTGTCTGGTATACTGCTTTCAACAATACTATCCACTATCCTTTCCAATGCTTTAAGTAGCAAGGACGTAAAGCTTTCGAACGCTCCCTTCCAAGTCTTTCAGTAGAAAGTACGTAAGTCTTATCGGTCGATAGGACTTAGGTGTCGCTTAGGTATAAATATTACTCTTGCATCCTGCCTTTTAATTTTTAACAGGTCGTGAAAATCTTTGACAGATGTACGGAAACCAGTCCCCCCTCCATCTGCAATAATGCCGAGGCAATACCATCCGTTCCTTCAGCTTTATAGGGTGCAAAGCTCTTGATCAAGAGCTTTATAAGTAAGTAACATAAACGCTATTTGTGAATCTTAAGACTGGTTCTTTATGATTCTAACTTCTTTAATGTTTGTTAGGAAATAGTTATGTCGAACTCGTAACATACTCCATCTTTATAAGTTCTATAAATAACGTATCTTTGTTTGTTATTTATAGAACATAATGGAATGAAGATCTTCGTTATGGTACCGGTTTAAAAATCTATAAAATTTCAATACAAAATTTGGCTCGATGTTTTTTTTTTTTTTTTCTTGTATTTAACAAAAACTATTCAGACTCTTTTTTTAAGTGTTATAATACCTAAGTTTATGCAACAAACAATTGATCTGCTTAACAACTATGTATTATTAAAATTTTTTGTTTTGTTAAAGAATTACTTTATTTTAACATTTACATAAATTCGTAGTTGCTACATATTAATTTGTTTGTTAAATAGGCGATTGGTAGTTAAGTAAATACTATAATCTGTCTTTTTATTAAACAAATTATTATGCAATATTTTTGGGAAATATTTTTAATAATATGTGTTGAAAATTATGACCCAGTTTCATATTAAATAAGAACTCTTCAAGCCAACGATGACAAATATTTGATAAACAAATGAAATAAATAAAACCAAATTTTTGAACAAACATATTTTAAATCGAAGACATTTCAATTGAACTACGAAGCTGTTGTCTTGAGGTCTACCCTATAAACGTATTCAAAACATCTTTATATTACCTTTATAAATCCTGGGATAGGGATTTCTTTTAGATAGGGAATCTAAAAAGGGAAATTACGGTCATTTATGCGTTATCAATAAAAGAAAACGTAAACAAATTTGAAAAATTAAATTAAATTTTATTTCTTTCAGTATAATAAATTCATTTTTTAAAAAACGCTAGAAATTAGAAAAAAGATCAACGAAAAAAAGAAAACAAAAAATACAATATTCTTATTGATTAAATGGAAAATTGTTAACAATTCAATTCAACTTGTTTTTTTTGTGGAATACTGATTATAATTTTTTCAATTTCACTATAACGACTTTTATTGTTATGTTAAATAAAAATGCATTTATATCTAAATGTCCGATGATTTCAAGAGGCGTATAACACGCTCAATTTCAGGAGCGGTATTACGTATTTTAGCCAAACATTCATAGGCACGATTATTTTGTTTCGTTAGCAAGCACCTGTGGTTGGAAAAGAAAAACAATTGGAAAGAATGAAATATTGTGGGCATATGTTAATGGAAAGTTAACTTACAATAAGGCGGCACCAGTTAGATTACCATTAGCATATAAATGTGTTATCCATTGTTCACTAATGGTATTGTTAAGAGGATCTTCGGGTTGTAGATATATGCGTGCTATAAGTAAGGCCTCTTTGTAGAATTTCTTTTCCATTAACATTTCTATGGCATCTTGCTGTTGATGTATGGCCAGCATATAAACAGCCGCTTGTAAAGCATAACCCTGTTCGATAAGTTGTTCAGCATAGGCTTGACAACATTTTTGCCAAAAACTGTAGAGATATAAAACAAAATAGTTAAGAGAAATTTATCATTATACCGTGAAATGTTAAGCCACCTATAGGAAATACTTGGCGCC